CGGGTGTGGTGGCACATACCTGTAGTCCCAGCTCCTCAGGAGGCTGAGGTAGGATCACTTGAGCCCAGGGAAGTTGAGGCTGCAGTGAGCCATGATTGTGCCACTGTACTCCAACCTGGGCAATAGAGTGAAGCCCTGTTTTAAAAAAATAACACTAGAATCCAGATGTATCTGGGACTCTCCCAAATCAGTGAGACAATCCACTTTTTAAAATGAGCAAGAGACTTGAACAGGCACTTCACAAAAGAAGATATCCAAATTTGGATATGCATAAAGTATTCAGTATCATTATTCATCAGGGAAACAAAACTACTATTAGATGCACCCATCCACCAGGCATAGTGACTCACACCTGTAATCTCAGCACTTTGGAAGGCCGAGGCTGGCAGATCACTGGAGGTCAGGAGTTCGAGACCAGCCTGGCCAACATGGCAAAACCCTGTCTCTATAAAAAAAAAATTAAAAGGAAGGCTGGGCATGGTGGCTCATGCCTGTAATCTAAGCACTTTGGAGGCCAAGGTGGGCGGATCACCTGAGATCGGGAGTTCGAGACCAGCCTGACCAACATGGTGAAACCCCATCTTTAAAAAATAATTAATTAATTAATTAAAATAAAAATTAAAAAATAAAAGATGCCAGCACTTTGGGAGGCCGAGGCAGGTGGATCATGAGGTCAAGAGATCGAGACCATACTGGTCAACATGGTGAAACTCCATCTCTACTAAAAATAAAAAAATTAGCTGGGCATGGTAGTGTGTGCCTGTAATCCCAGCTACTCAGGAGGCTGAGGCAGGAGAATTGCCTGAACCCAGGAGGCAGAGGTTGCAGTGAGCCGAGATCGCGCCACTGCACTCCAGCCTGGGTAACAAGAGTGAAACTCCATCTCAAAAAATAAATAAATAAATAAAAGATGTACACATCTAAATGGTTAAAATTAAGATGGACAACACCAAGATCGCTAAAGATGTGGAACTAGAACTCTCACTTTGCCAGTGGAGTAAATACTGTCAGTATTTACTAAAGCTACACATATGCTGTCTTCGTCCTTTGTGTTGCTGTTAACTCCTTCCCATTTAGAAAAATGCAGCTTGCTGCCAGCGCTCGTTAATTTTACATAAACATGCTCTTTGAGGCTGAAGCAAATCTGATTTTCAGTGTGAAATAAAATATAAAAACTGTTCTTGGAGTTATTTCTAAACAGAACTAACATCAGGATCACCTGAATCATCAGACTTGTCTATTTTTGAAAAATCAGATTCATCAAATGAATCTTTGGCTAACTATTTGAGAATGATGTTAACATCATGCATAGGAATGCTACATTTTCTAGGATTTGACATTTTCAATGACAATTACTATAGTAAATGAAAATGCCACTACTAAAAACACAATGCTATAATAGAACAACGTCTTTTGTTTCCAAAGTTGTTATACTATAGTGATGCCAAAATAATAAAAGCAAGATATTTCACGGCAAATTTATATGAGGGTAAATGTTGCAGCCACAAGCGTTGCCAGTGGGTATTCTCAGAGCAAACAAGACAAGGGTTAAGGAATAGCAGAGTTGGGCAATTTATAAAGAAGAGGTTTATTTGGCTTATGATTTTGCAAGCTGTACAAGAAGCATGGCATCAGCATGTGCCCTGGTAAGGACCTCGGGCCTCTATCACTCTTGGCAAAGGCAAAGGGAAACTGGT